CTCACATCTTCCTCATTAAACAGTCGGTGGCGAGTGGTGCGTCCCCTCTCTCATCCTTCCCCATTATCTAGCCTACATCTGCCAGCCTGCACCTACCAGCCTACCCCTTACTCCTCCAGCCTGTACTTGCCAGCCTACACCCTCTATATCCTACCTCCCTTGTTCCTCCTGGCTACACCTGTCAGCCTACACCTCGCCATATCCTACCCCTTCCTCCTCCAGCCTACATACCCACCATATACCTATCCACCTTGGTCTGCCTGCCTGCCTGCCACGCTACACCTGCCAGGCTGTGCACTCCGCAACACGCCGAAGGTAAACGGATAAGTGAGAGCTGAGGGGGGGGGATCCTCCTCCTCCTCTACCTCCCACTCCTTCCCTCCTCCTCTACCTCCCCCCTCACCTTCAATTTTGAGGTGTCCACTTGGGAAATTTGGAGTCAATTCCTGGACCGAGTCTCATTTCGGCAGCAAATTGGAAGGGTGAGGCATAGTGCCCCACACCCACTGATACACCCTCACCGTCCACCTGACACAGTGTACCGTCCACATGACACAGTGTACCGTCCACCTGACACAGTGTACCGTCCACATGACACAATGTACCACCCACATGACACAATGTACCACCCACATGACACAGTGTACCCTCCACATGACACAATGTACCGTCCACATGACACTGTACCGCCCACATGACACAATGTACCACCCACATGACACAGTGTACCGTTCACATGACACAATGTACCGTCCACAAAATAAAGTGGTTTGTTGCACGACTTCAAGGTTTTAAGCGAGTAGTTAGGTCAAGGTTACGTAGTATAATTAGGTCATGGTAACAGCCTAATCATGTTGGTCACAGGACAATTAAGTCAAGGTTACACAGGCAATTAAGGTCAAAGGTACATACAGATTAACGAGGTCAGGTTTAGACAGTGATTAGGTCAAGTTAATAAGGATTAATATGGTCAAGATCTCAGACTAATTATCTCGAGGTCATAGATTAATTAGGTCAAGGTGTTTAATTGGGTCTTAGCTTAATTAAATCAAGGTATTAGATTGTTTAGGTCAGTCTTAGATTAATTAGGTCTGGGTTGTGGATTAATTAGGTCAAGGTTTTACAAAAATAAGCTTTAGGTCTTAGATTACTCGGGTAAAGGTCACAGATTAAGTAGGTCAGTGTCTTAGATTAATTAAACCAAGATCAGTCTCGTTAGAGGTCACTCAAGGTTAATTAATTAGGTTTGGTTAGGTTAGATAAAGTTATGAAGTAAAGGTTGGGCTGGGTTAAGTTTGGTTGAGTTTGGCTGGGCTGGGATGGGCTGGGTTGGGTTGAATTTGAGTTGAGTTGAGACGAGATGAGATGAGATATGAGTCGAGATGAGCTGAGCGGAGCTGGGTCGGGTCGGGTCGGGTCGGGTCGGATCATATGTACCTGAAATAAACACGTGAAATATTGTTGGACGAATTCTTTTTATTTTATTTTTCTAAGACTTTTCAATTTCACAATTTTATTTTTGTTATTAAACCGGACTTTTTTTTTTAGAGAATATTGAGGCACTGACTCCATTCTTTACACACACACACACACACACACACACACACACACACACACAAACAAATATACAAATACAAACATTGGAGGATAATAATAATAAAAGAAAAAACACAGACGTCATAGATTTTTATAAAATTTATTATACACCTAAGAAATTAAGTTGTAAATTTGACTTCTGTACAAGATCAGGAATACATTTAGTTCATCCTTAACCTAGACACATAAAGGTGGTGGAACTATCACACTTAACATAGCGATGCGTCGACTTAAACAACAATGTGATGGTGATGCGCCAACCACAGGGGGGAGGAGGGAGAGCGCATGGTGGAGAGGTGTGTCTGCTGGCGGCCTGGCTCCTGCGTCCGGCTCTAACGCATGAAGAGGAGGAGGGGTGTGTGAAACGTATGGGTATATTGAAAGTCACGGACGCATGATTTGGCGGGTCAATGATGCGTGTGTGTGTGTGTGAGTTGGAGGTCACTGATGTATGGATGTTAGGGGTCACGGATGCACGTATGATGAGGTTAATGGTGGATGTATAAGGATGTAAGGTCAGTGATAAATGAATTATTAAAACAACAATAGAACAATAATAATGCAATGTATTAAAAGCTAACTACAAAATTAAAAACTCCAGAGATAATGTAAGCAGGAAACGCACTTACACCTTATAATACCAAGATCTTAAAAACAATATCAGAAAAATTTGGTCATACAAACAGAAATAAACAATAAAATCCCCTTAATAACTAAAATAAAATGGTAGAGGAAAACACCCGTAATTTAAAGGAGAAAAAACAAACTGGTGAGGAACCAGTGAGGGATCAGCACTTGCAGGACGCCGTGACCAGCCGCAGCAGACGCCTAACTCCACCCTGGTATACGTTACGTGTTCCTGAATAAAAATCTTGATTCCTTATGTCTACCCGGAGACCATCTGGCCCCTAGTCAGACCAGAGGAGACCACCGAGACCCTGGTCATGCTCCTACCCACGCTTGGAGACCTAGGTCCTAAGTCTTCAAGGTTTCCCACGTTACATTCCTGCGAACTGGGGATGAGGGCGTATCTTAGCCACGGTACAGTCTCAATGGTTATCTGTATAAGCTACCACTTTTGGCTGATAAATCGCGTCGTAGCTTCATTGACAGACCAAGAAGATGCATTCTGACGTTCTAATCTGTGATAAATTTAACATACTAATCTTTGAGAATCCTGAACTAACAGCCCAGATTCTCAAAACATTCACGAGTTCCAATATTTCCTCCTAATCTAAGAGGTTCCCGGAATGTATTTTAATTGTCTCACTGAAGCAGAGGCGAAAGTCAAATGGATAAGGTATTGAGGCTGTACTGTACTATAACTAAGACCATTTCTCCATCACCAGTTAGGAGAAAAACAGAATAACTTGAGAACCTTTTAGACTCCGAGCCTCTCTACACGTCCATATAATCTGAGTATTTTGTAAATGATATGTATTATTACGACTATGTACAGGTACGATAGAAAAGCTTAGTATTTGGAAATACTTATTGTCCTTCATAACTCCTTGGGGGAACTGTTCAGAAAAATAACCTTAATACTCATTAGAGCGATGGAGGCGCCAATACTATTAAGGTAAATTCTATAATAATAATAATGATGATGAGTCGTTGTGGGTAAAACAAGAGGCAGGTCTTACAAGGCGGTATTGGCGTTTCCAGGGCTCAAATTTAGACAAAAAACAAGTTGTGTTCCATGACACAAAATATGGGGTAATGGTCCAGACTTAAGTAAATAGATACTCATCCATATACATTAAACAAAGACAAAAACAAAGAGAATTTGATCTCTGGAAATGTTGATATAATAAAAATATTAGGTAACGTTAACATGTACACAAGATAATAGCCGTCCAATAACTTAACAAAGCTATTCCTTCACAGAGAATCAAAATGTACACGTATTTACATAAACATAATGTACAAAGGCTGGTTAAGTACCGTGTTGACCCAGGAAGGATGCCGTCACACCTACGCTACGTTAGTGTTTCTGTCTTTCGTTTGTAAACAGTTTTATCGCCTGGCGTAAAACATTTTGTAAATCACACACACACAAGAGTCGCGGGCTTAACACTTTTTAATTAATAATTTAAGAGACTTTAAAATGGAGATTCTTCTTAGCTTGAGATTTCCCGAGAGGAGATCTGTGGTCACCACCGACTTAATTGACGGATCTTCACCTAATTTCCCACAGTATATGTCGGGAGGTCAGAGGCCTCAGGCCCAAAGTCAGCGCTCTAACGACTGTTCTATATTTTGAAAACTTTTTTGAAATACTTTATCTTATAAGGCATAAACCGTGACAACCACAGCAATATTGTCATCAAGTGTAGTGACAATGTTTTTGCTTGTATATAAATTTTGATAAAGGATTCTCAGGTTATATACAAGTTTACTGAGGCAGCTTTCTGTACCAATAACTTCCACACTGACTTGTAGCCGTCAACCTTTCCTCTCAACTAAGCCCAGTCGACTCACAAGACCACCCCTGAGACTCTCTGCTCACTGAACATCTCATAAAACACAACTTGCTCGTCTCTGGTTCGCGATATCGACAATTGAATGAAAAAAGAATGGGAAACCTTATGATGTATACAATATATAGGTAGAGATATAGGGTCCAACGCCTCCTGAGGACTGACCACAAGAAATACTCGGCCACATCAACAAATAATAATAATAATAAATAACGAACAATTTCTTTAAGTGTTAGTTGTGAGAAGCGGAAGACCCACGAGGACCTGCACCGCCCACTGTACCTACCACGTCTCTCTCGCCTTCTAAAGCTCCATTAATATTAGGTTTTGTAACAAGTTCTTCATCTCCTGACACGTCTTCCAGTCATCCTCCACACGACACCACATATCACATCATCATCCTCACACGTCACTACTACTGATGTACCATGCCAACGTCTTGATTCTGCCACATGATCGTAACAGCATCGTCCTCTACACGTTCATTGCGTCGTCATTCATATGCAGTACATCTACGTCGCCGACACAACTTCTTGCTCATCACGTCATCATCATCCTCACACGTTAAATCGCTTCGCTGTGCCACGCCAAGACGTCGACGGTGCCATTACTGGCGAGAATGTTGGCTTCCGGCGCTCCTGTACGACGTCACTCCTTTTTCTGCTTGACCACCGAGTCTGCTTGTGTGACGTCACTGAGGAAAGAGGAGCGCCTGTTTATCCGTGACGTCATCCCTGGAATTTTCCTCATAGAGTGAGATGACGGGGCGACGTACGGGAAGGTTTGTGTATACGACTGAGGGTGTAACGCTGCGCAGTGGGCGTGATGTTCAGCCCCGAAGAATAGGCGTCGTGCTCAGCCCTGGTGCTCATCCCGAGAGAACAGGTGTGGTGTTCAGTCCTACAGAACAGGAGCGGCGGGTGGCCCACTATCACTTGGCAGGGGTGTGGACGAGGGAGGGGCCGTAGGGCTGATGGGCGCTGCAGGGAGGCAGCGCGAAGTGGCCCATGGAGGAGAACGCTGAGGACATGAAACCGCCCATTCCTAAGGGAGAGCGAGAAGGTAAAGTATTAATCCTGAGGGAGGCACCGACGGAGGTCTGGTCGACCCCATCTTACTAAATCTATCATCCATCTTACAGGCTAGAGGTCCTTAAAGTCTATTGAATATATAGACAAGCGTCACTCCTGGCGGGGTTGTCACAGAAAAGGTCTCGGGAAAAACTGCATATTGTAGTCAGTTTATCTTACTAACTATATCTTAATTTTCTTAAGAGAAAGACAGGAGGAAAGTTGAAACAGAAGAGACTGTAGCTGAGCATGAGCCAAGCACATAGGTGAGGACAACCGAGCAGTCATGCAGGTGTTGTGACACTAACACTAAGAGAGCAGCTGTTGCCAGGGCGCGACGGCAGCGGCAGCGGCGGCAGCAGCAACAGCGTTATTGTTCATGGAGGAGCCGCCCGTGACGGTGGTGATGGGCGTGAGGGGGGGCGTGGCGGGCAAGCTGGGGATGACGGGGGCGAAGGCGCTCCTCTGCTTGCTGTTCATGTTGGCTGTGAACTGGGAGAAGAGGGCGGCCGAAGAGGAGGCGCAGGAGGTGGCGGCCACACCCCAGGAGCCGTGGTGATGGTGGTGGTGATGGTGGTGTCCGCCGTGCCCGCCGCCTGCTGCTACACCATCAGTGGAGGGAGAGGGAGAGGGGGAGGGGGAGCTCCGTCAGTCACTGCGCCACACTTACACCTACACCAGCCCCGCCTCACGCTACACTCCTAGCCCGCCCTACATCCACTTATATGTAATGTACCTCAAAACCCATCACTAAACTGAAAGACTTTGGCCACATACTGTATATACTGAAGGCATTGACCCACCAATATACTGAAGGCATTGACCCACCAATATACTGAAGGCATTGACCCACCAATATACTGAAGGGATTGACCCACCAATATACTGAAGGCATTGACCCACCAATATACTGAAGGCATTGACCCACCAATATACTGAAGGGATTGACCCACCAATATACTGAAGGCATTGACCCACCAATATACTGAGGACATTGACCCACCAATATACTGGAGGGATTGACCCACCAATATACTGAGGGCATTGACCCACCAATAACTGAAGGCATTGACCCACCAATATACTGAAGGCTTTGACACACCAATATACTGAAGGATTGACCCAATAAAATACTGAAGGCATTGACCACAATAACAAGAACACCAATACTGAAGGCATTGACCCACCAATATACTGAAGGCATTGACCCACCAATATACTGAAGGCATTGACCCACCAATATACTGAAGGCATTGACCCACCAATATACTGAAGGCATTGACCCACCAATATACTGAAGACATTGACCCAATTAATATACTGAAGGCATTGACCCACCAATATACTGAAGGCATTGACCCAATTATACTGAAGGCATTGACCCACCAATATACTGAAGGCATTGACCACCAATATACTGAAGGCATTGACCCACCAATATACTGAAGGGATTGACCCACCAATATACTGAAGGATTGACCCACCAATATACATTGAAGGCATTGACCCACCAATATACTGAAGGCATTGACCCACCAATAATACTGAAGGCATTGACCCAATTAATATACTGAAGGCATTGACCCACCAATATATTGAGGACATTGACCCACCAATATACTGGAGGATTGACCAATCAATATACTGAGGGCATTGACCCACCAATAACTGAAGGCATTGACCCACCAATATACTGAAGGCTTTGACAGACCAATATACTGAAGGGATTGACCCACCAATATACTGAAGGCATTGACCCACCAATATACTGAAGGCATTGACCCACCAATATACTGAAGGCATTGACCCACCAATATACTGAAGGCATTGACCCACCAATATACTGAAGGCATTGACCACCAATATACTGAAGGCATTGACCCACCAATATACTGAAGGCATTGACCACCAATATACTGAAGACATTGACCCACCAATATACTGAAGGCATTGACCCACCAATATACTGAAGGCATTGACCCACCAATATACTGAAGGCATTGACCCAACCAATATACTGAAGGCATTGACCCACCAATATACTGAAGGCATTGACCCACCATATACTGAAGGCATTGACCCACCAATATACTGAAGGTATTGACCCACCAATATACTGAAGGCATTGACCACCAATATACTGAAGGCATTGACCCACCAATATACTGAAGGCATTGACCCACCAATATACTGAAGGCATTGACCACCAATATACTGAGGGCATTAACCCACCAATATACTGAAGGCATTAACCCACCAATATACTGAAGACATTGACCCACCAATATACTGGAAGGCATTGACCCACCAATATACTGAAGGCATTAACCCACCAATATACTGAAGGCATTGACCCACCAATATACTGAAGGCATAGACCCACCAATATACTGAAGGCATTGACCACCAATATACTGAAGACATTGACCCAATTATACTGAAGACATTGACCCATCAATATACTGAAGGCATTGACCCACTAATATACTGAAGACCTTGACCCACCAATATACTGAAGGCATTGACCCACCAATATACTAAAGGCATTGACCCACCAATATACTGAAGGCATTGACCCACCAATATACTGAAGGCATTGACCCACCAATATACTGAAGGCATTGACCCACCAATATACTGAAGGCATTGACCCACCAATATACTGAAGGCAACAAAAACGAGGAAATAATGATGCCAGGCGCTGCTCTCTCTACCATTAACACCTGTCTATAATAATACTCTGATCCCCTTAAGCAAACGGTGATATATGATGGTAATAAAGACTTGAATATAACACACACTATTACGGTTGGTAAGAAGACGTAACAGCTTAATAAAGAAAAATAATATAAAAGCCTAAAACTTGATAATTCAGCAGAGAAGCAAAACACAAGAGGAGGAATTTAAAATATGCGTAAAATGGAACTCGGGCAATCAAGTGGGATGTAAAAAAAAGACTAAAGACAGACAGACAGACAGACAGACAGACAGACAGACAGACAGACAGACAGAGACAGATAGACAGACAGACAGGCAGACAGACACAGACAAACTCTTCCTGACAACACACAGACTAACATGCATGCAGTGTTCTATAGGCTAGTAACGACTATATCAGTGTTGCCAGCACAATAGTGTGTTAACATGCCGAGGATATAAGCAGTGTTAATGCAGTGTTACCATGCCGAGGGTGTAAAAAGAGGTATTAATACTAGTTACTGCAGTGTTACCATGCCGAGGGTGTAAAAAGAGGTACCAATACTAGTTACTGCAGTGTTACCATGCCGAGGGTGTAAGCAGAGGTATCAATACTAGTTACTGCAGTGTTACCATGCCGAGGGTGTAAACTGAGGTACCAATACTAGTTACTGCAGTGTTACCATGCCGAGGGTGTAAACTGAGGTACCAATACTAGTTACTATAGTGTTACCATGCCGAGGGTATAGAAGAGGTACCAACACATTCCCTCCTGCACCACTACCAAGCCAGGGGAACCAAAAACAGTATTACCAAACCAGAGAAACAAAAAACAGCATCACCAAGCCAGAAAAAAACAGTATTACCAAGCCAAAAAAATATCAAATCAAACAGTATTGACAAACCAGCAAAATATCTCAACCAGGATGCAAAACAATGTTACAAATGACCTTCGTGCAGTATTACCAAACAAAAAAAACTTACTTGTGGTAGTGTTGAAGATACTGGGTGAAGCAGTCATGTTAGCCAAGTTGGAGGGAGATGAGTAACCAGCAGCAGCGGCGGCGTTGATGGAGGCGCCGTAGGTGGAGGAGGAGGAGGAGGAGCCCGTGGAGGAGGAGTGGGGGGTGGAGGCGTTGGAACCGAAACCTCCCCGGGGCGACGCCAGGCTTACTCCCGGCCCCTGACTCCTCGTGTAGTCCTCTAGAAGAAAAAACCTACGAGTGACAACAGCAAGTCAGTACAGGCGCCAGCAAGGGTCTGGTAACAGTGTAAGACATTATTGGTAACAGTGTAAGACATGGTAAACAGGGTGTGGTAACAGTGTAAGACATGGTAAACAGGGTGTGGTAACAGTGTAAGACATGGTAAACAGGGTGTGGTAACAGTGTAAGACATGGTAAACAGGGTGTGGTAACAGTGTAAGACATGGTAAACAGGGTGTGGTAACAGTGTAAGACATGGTAAACAGGGTGTGGTAACAGTGTAAGACATGGTAAACAGGGTGTGGTAACAGTGTAAGACATGGTAAACAGGGTGTGGTAACAGTGTAAGACATGGTAAACAGGGTGTGGTAACAGTATAAGACATAACACACAGAGACATAAATATATATCCCATTCATTATCAATTATAAACCTCCAATAAATTACAATAACCCAAACAATAAATAACTTCATTACTAAACCGCAAAAGCCAGAGTGAAAATATACACAAAATCCTATCTTAAATAATTATGTTGAATGTAAAGTAAATATATTTTATTCTCCAGTAATACGTACAGTTGAGGACAAAATTCCCTGAACATTTGGCATTATCTGGTCTCGGGTATTTCTGAGCCATAATATTTTAAAGTAACTTATTTATTTATTAGGGAGGAAAGAGAAGGATGCTAATGACTGTGATGAAGAGTAAGGATAAGAATAAAAGGAATTAAAAGAGAGGGACAATATTAAGTATTACCAAGAAAAGAAAAAAAAAGAAAAAAAATAAGAGATGAGAGGAAAAAATGACGATAAATTTATATTTACGAGAAAAATTACAAAAAACAGAGTGAAGAAAGGAAAAAAAATAATACCAATGGCTAAAACAATAAAAACAAAAGTAAAAAAATATAAAGAAAACAAAAATACAGAAAAACGAGAAGAGAAAAACAAAAACAGAGACACTCAGTTACTCAATAAAAGGTCAACAATAATCACCTTCGCCCCACTGTGTGTTAGCCGTGTCCTGGACGCTGACGGCGAGCTGGCCGGTGTAGGTGTTGAAACCGGTCATGGCGGAGGTTTGGTTCATGGCCGGGGAGCGTGGGGCGGGGAGGGCAAGCTGGTTGTTGCGGGGCATGGAGTAGAGCGCCTCAGCCAGGTCCGCCGCGCGCTTCAAGATGATCTCCTTCGGCAGCTTCTCTGGGTCGCCTGGGTGCCGGGGGATCAACTTCTGCAGCCGCTGGAACCCGTAGTCGATGGTGGGCTCCGTCAACGCTGTGAGAGACGGAGAGAGAGAGAGTGAGTCAATGCTGAGAAAGGGGGAGAGAGAGCGTCAATGCTGAGAAAGGGGGAGAGAGAGAGCTGAGAAAGGGGGAGAGAGAGAGTCAATGTCAATGCTGAGGGGGAGAGAGTGAGTCAATGTTGAGAAAGGGGGAGAGAGTCAATGCTAAGAGAGGAGGAGAGAGAGAGTCAACGCTGAGAAAGGGGGAGAGAGAGAGTCAATGCTGAGAAAGGGGGAGAGAGAGAGTCAATGCTGAGAATGGGGGAGAGAGAGAGAGAGTCAATGCTGAGAAAGGGGGAAAGAATCAACGCTGAGAGGGATAGATAATGAGTCAACGCTGAGAGAAGGTTAGAGTCAAAACTGATAGTGAATTAGGTTTAATTTTATGCTTCATTAAACCACATCCAACGTAAACAAAGATAACCCTAAGTTCAGTTATCGTAAGAGTGTCCGTGGGCCTCCATCAACTACCTCCACTAATTCCTATTCGGAGACGCTGCCAACCTTCATACACTCATAACTCCATCTTGTCTATAAAACTACTTTACTGTATTCATATGACAGCTGCCAACCACAAAAGAGTATCGTAATGCCGTCGTCTTTAAAACTATTGTATTTTACGATAATGTAAATATTGTCTGCTATTGTGGGAGTGAAGGGAGGAGACTAAAAACAAAATAGTCTAAGAACGTCCGCTGAGTCAGAAGGGTCTACGGTGAAGCAGGAAGGCAGTAATGTATACAAGGTTATGTAACTTGACCTCACAGTTCGCCGCCACACCGCAATTAAGTACAGTACAGAAGATCAGTATAATGATTCTACAGTACAGAGGATCAGTATAATGATTCTACAGTACAGAGGATCAGTATAATGATTCTACAGTACAGAGGATCAGTATAATGATTCTACAAGCAATTATACGTTTGGTCTAAAACTCTACACTGTAAACCACGACATTTGATTCCCTTCATAAACAATCAGTTCCAAATTTCACATAAGCCGGATATGAGGAAGTCACAGGTAGCCATTTTCTAGTAGGTGTGGGCGTACAACACATTCCTAACAGCGATAAACAGAGTGTATTAATTCCCCACTGGCGACTGCTGGGGTTATCACAATTGAGAGACTAACACTGATACTCACAGACATAGACGAATCTGCCAGGTGCGCCCTTGCAAAACTGCTTGGACTTGTAGGAAAGCGTCACCTCCACCACCCCAGGGATGTGACGCGGGGGTGTCTGGACCCGGATGGCGTGTGACGTCACCAACTGCAAGAAAAACATTATATGACGTCATCGATCTCAAAAACTAAAATAAACAACGTCAGCCATTATAACAAGAGTATATCGCGTCTTTAGTGACTACAATAATAACAGTGTTAACACCTTCGGCAGCGTGTGACGTTACGAGCAGCACCAACATAATATACCATCACTAGTTACAAGAGAATGTGACGTCACCCGCTACAACAACTGTCCCTCTCACTACCAAACTACCTCCGACTACATATTTATCCCTGACTTACATAAAACACTGTTAATGGTATACATTTCCACTATCACTCGACACGTGCTGACTAACAATACAAGAATGGTGAACCTTCAAGACACAGTACGTACACACAGCCATCACAGCATAATCTTTATAACAGTGAGGCTCCACAAGGCGAGGCTCCACATGGCGAGGTTCCTTCTGCATTTGCACGGTAGCAGGAGGGTCAAAGAGGCTAAATATACCGTCACAGATACTCCCTGTCCTCAGCTGTCGACTGGTTTAATGCGTGATAGTGTTGCCATCCAATATTGTGAACGATGACAACTTTACACAAGCTCTGTCTTCTAAACTGCCCGCAGGAGTCCCGAAATGCTTTAATTTAGTACTGTTTCCTTTATTTACTAATGGCCACCCAAATTAGAAGTGGCCATGGCGATGTCAGAAGGCCAGTGATCTGTGTAACATCCCTCCATTACTCTGGATTATCTTGTCAAGGCCAATTTTGTAGCCCAGTACTGCTCTCGACATCCAAGTACTGTTGTTTATTATCATTGTCAGATACTGTGTTACAAGTCATTATTATTGTTATTAGTCATTATTACTGTGTTATTGTTGTCCTGGCTACTGCCGTTGTTATTGTCGTATTATAAATATTATCAGTATTCTATGAAGTTCGTGGCAATCATTCTAACACCAGTAAAATAGTACCGAATTATTAGAATTTATACAATACTATAATGCCATTGTCCACGTTATTATACTATTAAACCCGTCATATGAACTTACATTAACACTGATTTCATAAATATCTAAAACATTATAAAACTCCCATAAAACAAAATTCTTCTGGCTACTACAACATGTAAACAGTGTGGCGTCTCACCTCACTCCAGACCAACATGGTGCCGAAGACGATCTGCAGCCCGTCAAAGAAGTTATCGCCTATAATGATGACGGTGGCGCCTCCCGTGGTCCAGCCCTCTGACGGTGAGATGGCCTTGATGCAGGGGGTAGCTGGCAGCGGGGGGTACAGTCCTGGGGGAAGATACGGGGGGGGAGGGTTAATATGTATGGGGGAATTGGCTAGATGTAGGGTGCACAGATCTGAGGCGAGGGGACAGGTATGTAAAGCCACTATTATCATCGTCAATAATAATAATAATAATAATAATAATAATAATAATAATAATAATAATAATAATAATAATAATAATAATCAATACATCTTTACAATAAACAACACACAATACAATGAACTATTTACTAAGGTACAAATTCTCATAATAATTACAAAACAAATATTTGACACCCTAATACCAGCTGCCCCTTAAGCACTGACTGACACCCCAGCTGTCCCTTGAGCACCACCTCGGATGCCTCCACCAGCTGGGCTCACACACCACACAGTGAGAAGTGTGACAACAGCTACCTGGTATTAAATTGTCTGAGGCACAGGAGGTGGACAAAGGCAGCAGAGAGCGAGTCTTCACCCATTCTACTCTGAACCGAACTTAACCTAACTTAAACGCACCCCACTAGGTAGCGTTAGGGTGTTTAATCTTCAGGTGAAATAAGTTGAGGGGAAAATCTTCATGTGTATTTGGAGAGAGAGAGAGAGAGAGAGAGAGAGAGAGAGAGAGAGAGAGAGAGAGATTACCAAAGCATTTCCTTATTCACAAGCACCACTGTACAATCTCGGGGGCGTGGTGGTGGTAGAAGGAGGTGGAGCTCGACTCACCCTGTGTCGTGGACGGATGGACACAAGGGGAGAGCCACGCCCACACTGTGTATAGGAGGGCGAGTGAGGAGGGAGGGCGAGTGAGGGAAGGAGGGCGAGTGAGGGAAGGAGGGCGAGTGAGGGAAGGAGGGCGAGTGAGGGAAGGAGGACGAGTGAGCGATGGAAGGTGAGGGGGGAGGGAGGGAGGGTGATGAGGGGGTGATGTACACATGCACTAGGGGGTGAGGGGGTGAGGGGTACACGTCACAGGTAAACAAGATAGGGTGATGAGTGGAGATGTAGGTGTGTGAAAGTGAGGGCTGGGTGTGAGGTGAGGGCTGTTTGGGGGTGAGGGCTGGGTGGGGTGTGAGGGCTGGGTGACAATGAGGGGTGGGTGGCGGTAAAGGCTGGGTGGTGGTGAGGACTGTGTGGTGGTAAGGGCTCAGTGTGAGGTAAGGGGGCTGGGATGCGGGGCTACAGAACACCTGCCGTAACAGATCATCAGTGAACAGGTAAGGCAAACGCTCACCTTCGTCACGGAATGGCATCACCTTAAGATAAGCCACCCCAGCTTATTTCACCTGAAGATTAGCCACCCCAGCTTATTTCACCTTAAGATAAGCCACCCCAGCTTATTTCACCTGAAGATTAGCCACCCCAGCTTATTTCACCTGAAGATTAGCCACCCCAGCTTATTTCACCTGAAGATTAACTCACCTAACCTAAATCTCCAAGATAGCGTTAGGGTGTCTAATCTTCAGGTGAAATATGTTCCCCCCCAGCTAATTTTCAAGTGATTCTATAAAAGTATCCCAATGTTGATCAAAACAAAAACAGGTAAAATACATTAAAAAATATCTGATGTGTATTAAAAAAAAAGCTAAAAAAACATACATGATAAATCCAAACAATGAGAAGACTGTAATACACACACACACACACACACACACACACACACACACACACACACACACACACACACACACACACACCTTAAACTAACCCACGAGACTTAAACACAAAAAAAAATAACACAATCAAGACTCAAAAACTAACACGTATAAAATTAACACCCGAATCTAAGGCGCTAAACCAACCCGGCCCCTAAGACAAACACTCGGAATATTGCTACGTAAACTAACACCCAAAACTAAACCACCAAAACTAATACACAGAAACAGTGCGCATAAGCAAACACACCGAGGAGAGTAAAACCAATGAGAAGACCTGCAAACCTCAATGAAAATAAAATAAAAACTTGTTTGAGGCATGAAGAAGGTGGGGGGGAGGGTGAGGTGACGTGGTAGGGAGGAAGAAGAGAGAGAAAGGAAAACAGAAAAAAAGGTGTCGGCCATCTTGAGAGGTCGACCACGTTCAGCCCGTAATACTCACCATTAATTTTAGTGTCGGGAGGCAGACGGAGGGAGGGGAGAAGGAAGGAAAGAAGGAGGAGGGAGGGAGGGAGGAGGGAGGGAGGAGGAGGGAGGAGGGAGGGAGGGAGGAGAGGGAGGTAAAGAGGGGAGAGAAGGATGGAAGGAGGGAGGTTGTAGGCTCAATGCAGGGAAGTTAAGAATTCTTGTAGTTTTTCTTTATTTTCCTCCTCTTAACGTCGTCTTTTTCCTATCTCCTTCCTTTCTTCCTTTCATTCATTTCCTTTTCCTTCTCTTATTCTCCACTAGGTTTTTCTACCGTCTCCTTCTCGCTCTCTCCTATTATCTTCTATCCTTCCTTCCTTTTCCTCTTCCGTCTTCTCACCTATTCCCTAATTCCTCTTCTCTACCTATATCCTCCGCCTCTTTTCTTCTATCTCCTCTCCCTTTTTCGTCCTCCCCCCTATCCCTCTCCTCTTCCTCTTTCTCATTGTCGTTTACACACACCTGTCACCCCAAACCTAACCTAACCTAACCTAACCTAACCTAACCTAACCCCCTGTAACGTTATAGGGTGATTAATCTGTCGGTGAAATAAGCTGGGGGAGGCGGTGAGTCTTCAGGTGCATTAACCATCACCACTACCATCAACACCACTAGTATCATCACCACTACCACCACCACTAGTATCATCACCACTACCATCAACACCACGAATATCATCACCACTACCATCAACACCACTAGTATCATCACCACTACCATCAACACCACTAGTATCATCACCACTACCACCACCACCACTAGTATCATCCCCACCATCACCACCACTACTACCATCATCATCATCATCATCAACACCACCACCACTACTACTACCATCAACAACACCACCACTACTACCATCAACACTATCACCATACCTGCACTACTACCATCATCATCACCACCACTACTACCATCAACACTATCACCATACCTGCACTACTACCATCATCACCACCACCACCACCACCACCATGTACTATACACTCACTGACCGTAATCTTCCTTCGTCAATAATATTCCTCACAACCCCGTGTTCACAACCCCGTGTTCACTTCACAGGTGCGTGTTTCATAAGTTGTAATAACCAGTAGAGAGACTGTGTTACCTGATTTACTTAGTATTCGAACCCGTGTCTTGATGATGTTACCTTTGTCGTTAACGAGTATGTTGATCTAAACCAGATGTTAGAAATGTGTTCAGGGCTTCACAAACATGCAATGACCTTGTTCTCTCTTCTACCCTTTCCCCTTCAGCTAATTTCACCCAATGATTAAACCTCCTAACACTACCTGGAGGGGTTAGATTAGGTTTGCTTGGTTAGGTTAGGTTAATCTTGGGGTGGTATAAGCTGGGGTGGTTAATCTTCAAGTGATACGTAGAGGAGAGGTCAAGCATTAACTTAGGCGTCTCGTGCACTTCTCCCCAATAACCTCCCCATCTCCATCACCACCTGGACGTCTCCCCAATAACCGCCCCACCACCACCACCTGGACGTCTCCCCCAATAACCTCCCCAGCTCCACCACCACCTAGACGTCTCCCCAATAACCTCCCCACCTCCACCCCAGGTCCGTCATCTCTCCTTTACTGGTGTCAGACGGTGATGCCGAATCTGTTTTATTCTTTCCAGTAATCAGCGAGATGCAACGCTCCTCCTCATCCCTCTCCCGCCCTCCTCAACCCCCCCGCCATTCCTCCTTTCCTTCCACCTTTTCCACCCTTCCTCAGACCCCTCATTCTCCTCCCCAACCCCAGATCCATACATCCCTCCTCCATCTCCCCCCTCCAACACCCCCACCTCAAAATACTTCATCAGGTTAAAATTTCAGTTTCTCAGATCCTCGCGTATTAATTTCTCCTCCTTAACTTTGGATCATATCAAGAACAACATGTATCTCGGTAACTGTTATGAGGCCGTGACCGAGGTGGCGTCAGAACTGTGCTGTGACTCTACCCAGACATTGTCCTATTTATTATAAGATGATGATAAAACTTACGACTTTGAGGAAATGGATAAATATTTCTAAAGGTGGATGAAGGAATTTTTTTTTTTAATAGATGAACGATGAAAAGTTGCTGATGGCAGGATGAGTGGCGTCTAAGGTTAATGTTGACGTTATTAACATTATATCAAGAGGCCTACGAGAGATAACAGCAACAGCATCAAGAGGCCTACTAGAGATAACAGCAACAGCATCAAGAGGCCTACTAGAGATAACAGCAACAGCATCAAGAGGCCTACTAGAGATAACAGCAACAGCATCAAGAGGCCTACTAGAGATAACAGCAACAGCATCAAGAGACCTACTAGAGATAACAACAACAGCATAGCTAGAATAACAGCAACAGCATCAAGAGGCCTACTAGAGATAACAGCACAGCATCAAGAGGCCTACTAGAGATAACAGCAACAGCATCAAGAGGCCTACTAGAGATAACAGCAACAGCATCAAGAGGCCTACTAGAGATAACAGCATCCAAGGCCTCAAAATCAGCAGCAACAGCACAGGGCCTACTAGAGATAGCAACAGCATAAAAAGGGCCTACTATAGATAGCAAACAGCATCAAGAGGCCTACAGAGATACAACAACAACATCCAAGGCCTACTAGAGATAACAGCAGCAGTAACACAAGGGCCTACTAGAGATAACAGCAGCAGTTACAGCAAAAGGCCTACTAGAGATAACAACGGCAATAGCAGAGGCCTACTAGAATAACAGCAGCAGTAACAGCGAGGCCTACTACAGACAGCAGCAGACAGAGAGTCGTCTATAATTCACAGAGGAGACGCTCCTTCTGACAGAGGCAATTCAGTGGACGGCCAAGACGGAGGTGTGTGTGTGTGTGTGTGTGTGTGTGTGTGTGTGTGTGTGTGTGTGTTTGTCTTGCTATTTTATGTG